GCTCCCGCCCGCCCACGCCCCGCCCCCGCCGTCCAGCCGTCCGCGCAGCCTGAGGAGGCTTAGTCTGATTGTGCTGCTGAATACGATTGTAAGGATGATAATACAGGGTCAAACCACGTTTGTTGATAATATGGTACAGTAATAATATAGTTACACTACACAGGCATGTACACCATACATCACTACGATACCATCCTGATACCCACACAACATTTTACACGACATGGACACTTAGACACCATGCCTATCATCACACCACATCATACTTACACAACATTAACACGACATGCTACATTCAGCACCACATCACTTACTGACACAGACATTATCATGACATCGACATTACACACCTTGCCTACATCACACCAATCATACTACACAACATTACGACGAACATCGACATTACCACTCGCTACATCACCCACATCATACTACACAACTTTACACGAGATGACATTACATAGAACCATGCCTACATCACACCACATTCATAGCTACACAACATTTACACACCATTGGCTACATCACACCACATCTATACTACACAACATTTACACGACATGTACATTTACACCACCATGCTACTATCACACCATCATCATACTACGACAACATTACATGACATGACATTATCACACCGATGGCCTACATGCCCACCACAGTGCATACTAGCACAAAAACATTACACACCATGCTTACATCACAACCACATTCATAGACTACACAACATTACACGACATGACATTACACCCACCATTGCTACATCACACCACATCAGTACTACACAACAAAATTACACGACCATTGACATTACAGCAACCATGCTACCATCACACCACATCATACTACCACAATCATTACACGACATGAGATTACACACCTATAAGCTACATCACACGCACATCATACTACACAACATTAACATGAGCATGTGGACATTATCACAACCAAAATGGGCGGGTGGAGGACATGCTGTGGTTCCACCGCGCGCTCACCATGTCACAGATGCTGCGGCACCTCGCATACGACGATACGCAGGGGGAGGGCATGACCGCAGATGCGGTGACAGACGCCGCGCAGATGATCGCCACGGTAACGGCTCCCTGCCGGCTCCTCATCGTCACGGGTAAGCCGTGTGCGGCGACGCGACGCGTCTTTAATTGTCGGTTCATCTATCTGTGTCGGCGCGACGGCCCTGTGGATATTGTTGCTAAATCAGTCAAGCTTGACTGATCTATGACCTTTCAGTGATGCATGCCGATTTATCGACTTTTATCTAACTTAGTTACTAAGCAGCGTTTTTAGAATGCCCCCATGGCAGCATGAAGTGTAAGCAGTAAGACTTGGTTCTTAACCTTTTTTGAGCCATGAACCCTTTTGAGAATCTGATGAAAGCTACGTACCCATCCCCAGAAATGCATGTAAGCACATAAACACAACATTTTGCATACAATGGGGTTCACGGACCCCCTGAAGCCCATCCACGACCCCAAAGGGGTCCATGGACCACAGGTTAAGAACCCCTGGACCCTTAACCAAGTTGTTCAGTTGCCCTATAGATACATATCAGGATATAGTATGCCTGTCCCTGTGCAAAAATCGTTACGTTAATTTAAAATTTAAAATGAATTTAAACCTCGTAACAACCCTGCGTGCAGGAATCCCGATCGCGCTGGAGCAGGAGTTTGTGAAGCAGGCGATACGCAAGGCGAGCAGTGCCGCCGGCGGTCTGTTCCGCGACGAGGTCTGGGTGCTGAGCACGGACGATCCCGGGCTGCCACGACGTGACGCCATCAACGAGGCAGCGCGTCGTGCTGGAAGTCCGGGTGAGGGGTTTCGTTAGCGAGGTCGTCGGTGTCGTTTAGTGTTGTTGTTAATAAGTTATGCTTATCCTTTAATAAAATATTTAAATAAATAATAAAGATTAAAATAAGTGGATAAGTAATTAAATGATAATGATGATGATGATGATGATTATGATAATGATAATAATAATAATAATAATAATTAGTGTATAAGTAGTATCAACCTGCTCCTTTCATTGTGAAAATGGTGAAGTTTTGCCTGCAGGGGGTGCTCACAAACGCGGAATCAAAGGCTGCGCCGTGCTGGAAGTTCGCTCCAAGTGCAAGGTGGAGTCCTGCAAGAGGGCGCTACTGGGCAGCCGCGAGTTTCTGGCGGGCATCTCGGACGACATGCTCGACGTCGCAGAGATGGAGGTGCTCACCGTTGCCACGGTTACCGCTAACCTGCTGACAGAGCCCCCTGCTGGCGTGGTGCTGGAGGAGTATCTCTACTATAAGCTGATGCTCGGTGAGGGCTGCTGCTGCCACGTCATGCGACCTCGCACGCTCGACGAATGCGAAGATGATGACGGGTCGATAACTGCTCTTTTTTTTTCTTCAACTCGTTCTCTTTATATTTTATTATATTATGTTATAACATACAGCAGGGTTAGGTGTCGTTGTAGAGCTGCAGAAGAAATAATATTGTCAACAAAACAGCGTCTAAATTGATTTAAAAGCACTATATTTAAC